AGGCTGTTCTTACAGGGAGAGAAAATCAGGGAAGACTTCTTGTAGGAGCCAGTGTTTGATGTGGACCTCGAAGAACAGATGTTAGATGTGCATATGTTGAAATGGGGAGAGGTAGGAAGAATATGGAAAAGCCCGAGAGCTGCAGAGCATCTGCAGACAGGGACCAGCCCCGGTCACTGTCCCTGTGGACTGCCACAAGGCTTTTGTCTGAGGCTGAGCGAGATAATCACATGCTCTCTCTCTCCAGAATGGCTGGTAAACATCTTAGCTCTTTTACAAGAACTACTCTCCTAAAATGTCTCTGTTCAAAACAATTACTGTGCCCATCACGCACCTCGAGGTAAATTAACCCGTGAACACGCATCGGCTCTTAATATCCTCTTAAAAAGCAGACACTGACGTTGTGGGGTCTGCTTGGCTGCAAAAAGGCAAAAAAATTCTAGAGAAGCATTTCTGTCAGCTCGGAATGTGAGGATAACAGCTGCTATTTATAAAATGCCTACTTTGTACCGGCCACCTACATACACACTCTCTCATCAGGCCTCGCAAAAGTGCTGGAAAGTCACTCTTGCCATCGCTGTTTTGCAGATGAAGAAACTGAGGCTCAGAGTGGTCCCATGATTGTTCAAGGTCATGATTATTCCAGGATTGACAGAAGAGGCTGATCTGGAACTGTGATGTGGTCTGATGCCAAAACCCACCTCGTTCTCACTTTCTTGTGTGTGTGCTGGACAGTGAAGAGCCCCACTCTAGATTCTTCTGTGTCCGTGGCTCCCCAGATCCTTCTAACTGGAGCCTTTTTATCCCGTTCATTAGAACTCTTTTTGTTACCCCCTCACGCTAACCCCTCGGCTACCTCTGATCTGGCTTCTGCATGTTTTTTAGCTCTGACCATGTGGCAAATTCCAAGGAAAGCAAAGACACAGTTGTCCCAGGCTGTCCCTGCTACCCAGGAGTAGCTACCTCTTCTTGCCCATCATGAGGTACTGATGTCCAGGCACAGAACTGAAGCTCTACAGGCAGACAGACTTGCATTTGAATCCTGGCTCTCCCACAGCCTGGCTGGGGGCTCTCCAAACACGTGGTCCAGGCAGGAGTCCCCCACCCCTTGAAGAACAGGGGTTGGTGAAAAGGATGAGTAGGACTTGTGGGTGTGTGGTCCTGGGTTCAAACCCTAGCCCTGCCGCATCCGGGCTCTGGGATGTAGACGAGTCCTCAGACCTCAGTCTTAACGTCTAAATAGGTTCAACACAGCAGCACGTATCTCGAAGGGCTTGTTGGTGTTACATGACCCTGGCACATGGTAGCTACCAACAGGGAATTCTTTTCAGTTTCTGCCCCCTTCTAGGCTGGTTCAGCTATGCTTCCTTGACCTTTTCATCTGCATGGCAAACATGAGGTGCAGCTCGCACAGTGGAGCTCAGTGAAACAGGATAAATCTTGAACTCCACCCTCCCTCTGTGTCCCAAAGGCTAGGGCAGACATTGGCAAACTACGGCCCTCAGCACAAATCTGGCCCACTGATTTTTAAAAATAAATTTTACTGGAATAAATCCATGCTAATTCATTTACACATTGTTTATGGCCACTTCGTATTGTAGTGTCAGAGTTGAGTAGGTGCAATGGAGACAGTTTGAGCCTGAGCAGAAAAAGTTGGGGGTCCCTTGGTCTTATGTATGGGATCTTTCAAAAAGGGGGGACCTGTGAGGGTCTTTTTGTTTGAAAAAATATTTCCCCAGCTTCTCCCCCACCCACGCTTTCCATCTTCTTTCTCTGGTTTATCTGTTTTTTCCTTAGCCCTCTGGACTCTCACATAACATCTATATTATTTACTTTCCTTATATATCATTTTTATTTTCTGCCAGCTCCACTCTAAAGCTCCATGTGGGCAGAGATTTTTTGTTTATTTTGCTCTTATATCCCAGAACCTTGGCCAGTGCCTGGCACATAAGTGGGCCCCCGACAAATATTTGTTGAATGAATAAACACAGGTTTTATGAACAAAATTATTCAACTGAAGTGTGTTTGAGGCTTTCTCTTTCATGGATGACTTTCGGATTTATAGGGGGACCAGGTGGAATCCTGACCCCTGGGAAAAGAATATTATTATTATTATTATTATTTTCTAAATGAGACAACTGAGGCTCTGGTTAAGAAAGTGCTTCTCAAACTTGCACAGGCACATGAGTTACTGGGGATCTTGCTACCATGCAGGTTCTGACTCAGGAAGTCCAAGCAGGGACCCTGGCTACTTCTAGAAGCTCTGAGGTGATGTCAGTGGTCCAGGCAGGAGGCCCCCACCCCTTGAAGGGGTGTTTGGTGGTCTATGGCCCACACTTTGAGCAGAGAGGGATTGAAGCACCCACTCAAGGTGTATTCCTGAGACTTGGTGGAGTGGGGTTTTGAATTGGGGGCTCATGGTGGTCATCACTCACTCTTCTCCAACTCCATGCATTTCTCAGTCTTATGATCTCCAAAGACCTGTCACTCCTCCCCTCCAAGGCTGCTCCCTGTCCCCAAACACTGTGCCTCTAGACTGTCCCTTCCATAGCCATCCTGCTTCCAGCATCTGCACAGGCTCCTTGACTTTACCTACACAGGTGCCTGGGACTGTCTGACCCTTCCAGTAGCTGATCTCTTGTTTCTTTACTACTTTAGGGCCTAATGGTTAAAAATAAGTATTCTTCTTCATGGGCCCCAGATGAGTTGGCTTCCTTTCCCAGCCCTACCCTGTGACCTGCATAAGTGACTGCCGATGGCCAATGTCAGAGCCATGCCCATGCCTTCCACGCCCATCTGTCTGCAGCAACTGCCAGTATCAGTTTCTCCCCAGCAACGGCTTTTCCCTCATGGTTCTTAGATCTGTCCTTCTGCTTCTCGGTCTGCTTTGCCAGGTCTTCCCTTCCTTTGGATATTTAACCACAGTCAGTTCTTGGGCTGGCATGAGTCACATCCTAGGATCTGTGACTCCAAGTCTGCACCAATGGAAGGCCCTTTGGTTATGCCTGTACCTTGAACTACAAGAACCTGTATATCTGTCTCCAACACTCTTGCACTGTTCACCTTTGAAGTTGTCAGGGTACCCAGCAGGATCAATGCATGACATAAAGTGGACACCCAAAGGTACTCTACGTGCACTGGCTGAGGGACTGAAGAGGTGAGGTGCCCGGAGGCTGCGATGGGTCACTGCATGCCCACCCAGACTCTGGAATGTCAAGGCCATGAGAAGCCCTAGAAGGCCAAGGGGCTCCCAGGAGCCAACATGAGTGTGTTGCCCTTCTTAGTTCCTGGAAGAGGAAAGCAAGATAAGTAGCATTTCATGACTGGCAACTTTGTGATAAGCACTTTACTATACCATCTCATTTCCTCTTCAAGGTAACTGTGAGGCAGGCCTATTGATCCTACTTCAGAACTAAGAGAAAGGAAGCTCAAAGGGTTCAGAAAACTTGCTCAAGGCTGCATAACTGGTGAGTGACGGAGATGGACGTCAACCCAGAGCTGCATGATCCCTGCAGCTCATTCTCCTTCCACCACAGCAATAATGCCCTGTATGGTTTCATACCTCTGTTCCTTTGCAGATGCTGTTCCCTCTGCTGGGAATTCTTATTTCTTCAGAATTGGTAAGCCTGTCTCTAAAAACACTGATAACTATCCCTTCCCCGTTAAAAATGAAGTCACCCAGTTAAGTGCTCTTATACTCTGTACAGCCCCAATAGACTCCTCTCAACCAACATTTCAAGTGTTAGATTTTATGCTGGTCTCTCAGGTAGGCTTGAGCACTGGCAGGGTGAGGCTCAAAGTCCTGGTCACCTCTTCAACCAGTGTCTGGAATAGAATGTGCATGTTCAATGCCTAGTGGTCGAATGAAAGAACAAATGAAGCAAGTTCTCTGGTACTTCCAGTGTTGGTGCTGGGGTTCCATTGATTTCTGTATAACATGGGTAGTGGTATCAGAATCTTATCAGCTCCTTGCCTGGGGCTATTGACCTGTGGACTAAGAACTGAGCAGAGGGGATGGAAGAGGCTTTGGCTAGCTCTGTCTGCATCTGCGAAGGCTTTAGCAGGTGATCACTGACAGACAAGGCCTCTCTCACAAGGCTGGGTTTCCAAAGATGAAGAACAACATGGAATGATGGGGAATGTATTACATTTTACCAGGAGCCAGACATTCTGAATTTTAACCCCACACTTTTGATGACTGACTGTGATTTCACATGCGCCTTTGGACATCAGTTTTGAAGTATGGAAAATGTATATTAAGAATATGAGACTGATTCAGTGGTTTTCTTACTTTACATTGCCAAGGGTCTATTTATGGAGTTGTTCTCCTGTACTCTCCTGTTTTGAAAATGGCTGGTTTAATTATGAGAAAAAGCATCATCTTTATTTAGAAAGTGCAATAAAAAGCTGACAGGCAATTGGCCAACAAAATGCATTGATGGTATGAGATCACTAATGCGAACACCAACCAGAGATACTTCTAGCCCACAGCAAAGACCCTGGATGCCACTTGTGAAGCTGTTTCTGGATAAAGTCATGACACCCTGTAGACTTCCTGAAGTAGTGGAAATAGTCAACGAATCTAACCGTTAAGCCCGTAAGGCTACCCATCCCCCAAGCAGACACATAGGGACTCTGTAGTTGCTGAGATATGAGGTTCTGTTTTACGTGTGCAAGTCTTGCACAAGGATTTCGTTGATCTCTTGCTGGAATATGAGGGAATTTCTAGCTAGAAATTATAATGACAGAGGAGAAACAGCCTTTCACATCTCCAAAAATAGGGGGGTGGGAATCTAAGGTGGCAGAAACATACTGGACATGAACAATGAGAGTGCATTTTCAAATGGAGGACATCTAGACAAAATAAAAGCTGGGGTTACAGATGACTTAGACGGGAGTGAGCATGGAAAACCAACAGACACTTGGTTGGTGCAGAAAACACATGCCACAGGTCCCCTTTACAGGGCACGAAGCAAAGTTAACCCGGGGTCGATACTTACAAGTAATAGGAGTAGGAATAAGCATTTCTTCTATATATTGATGGGCAGTCAGATGAAGAAAATGTCCAAAAAGGGGGAAAAAGAAAAGACAAATAAACAAGAATTAGATTTATATGAAATCTTGATTGTTAGAAATGCACATAGTATTTCAGTATCCCTAAGCTCAAGGAGATGCATGTTTCTCTACTAAGTCATCTTTGCTGAGAATCAGGAACATTCATCGGTAGAAAAAATGAGAGAGACCTCTCCCATGATGGAGAAACTCACTAGTCACACAGAGGAAGGTTCTTTCTTAGGGTCAACTCAAACTAGCATGATTAATTATGACTTTTTGGTCTTGGGTCAAATATCTGTGACTGTCCAGAGATAGTCTGTCTCTCATCCACATGACAGTGCTCCTATGATCTAAGAAAAACCATAATGACTTCTGTCTTCTCTGTTGCATCAGTCTCTATTTAGTAGGTAATGCCAGGGCAAGGGGATCGTGTAGCCAGCATGTACTACGACTCCTAGGGATCCACACTTCCCAGTACTCACGCCTGTGTGTATTGTCTTCCCACTCTGAGTCAGGGTTGGCCCCATCTGACCAGCAGAATAGGAGTTACCTTTTGGGACTTTTTAGAACAGATCAAGAAGAAGTCTTGCAGTTCTGTCTGGGTCTTTGCAACCCTCTCTTGGAACCCTGGGTGTCTCTGTACAGAGTCTAAGTATCCCAATGCTGTCATGCTGCAGAGACCATGTGGAGAGGCTACAGGGAAAGGCCCTGAGGTGGTGTGAAGACGAAGAGCTATCCAGCCAGTCCCCAGCTTATTTTTTTAAAGAAAATTTATTTATTTATTTATTTATTTTTAGAAAGAGGGGAAGGGAAGGAGAAAGAGTGGGAGAGAAACATCAATGTGTGGTTGCCTTTCATGTGTCCCCTAGTGGGGACCTGGCCTGCAACCCAGGCATGTGCCCTGACTGGGAATCGAACCGGCGACCCCTCACAGGCCTGTGCTCAATCCACTGAGCTACACCAGCCAGGGCCCTAGCTTATTTTTAAGCCATTAAATTTTAGGGAGTAGTTTCTTACAAATCAGTAGATAACCAGAGCAAAATTCAAACTCCATGAAAAAGCATAGCACTAACAGAGAGGAATTCCAGTCTTTAGTCTGAAGAGACTACAACCTGAATGAACTCTCTGTGCTTTCATTCCCTCATCTGATCCTCAGATGAGTTGAGCTAGATCAGTGGTTGCCAAACTGTGCTTCTAGGAACCCAGGGGTTCCTCAGAACACTCTCATTGCAATAGGGGAGGGGCGTACTGAGCAGGTAGGGCTGCAGGTCTCCCATTCTCGGCCAAACCCAGAGATCCTCCATCTTATCTATTTTATAAACTAGAGGTTCATTTAGGAATTCACATGAATGAGAATTTAAAAAAAAGCAATGCCTGTAATCTCCTCCTCCTATCCCGTCTAGCTCTTGGCTTCTGAAAAGAACTCAAATAAGTCCATAATATTCCCTTTGTTAAACTTCATATTTTGTAGGAAAGTAAGTAAGCATGCTTTTATTTGGCAGACTTAGTTACACTGACAATAATTTGCAGATAGAGAAAAACTGCTGAATAATTCAGGCTCTCAAACATCCGTCTGAGTAGGCAAGAATAGTTTCCTTCCCTCTTGAGTTATTTTGTTAATTTGCAAACACCATCCAGTCTGTTTGGCACTGGAAGATACAGTCTTTCTATCTGCAAAGTGGGAACATGCCCTCAGAGCCTCATATTTCCCCCTCTTAAGTAGGATATGGCCAAAGATCCCCAGGCAGGGCTACTTCTAGTCCTTCTCTCACTTATCCATGAGAGCCCAGCTTTACAGCTTCAGAAGGAAAATGACTCAGAGCCAAGAAGCCAAGGCACAAGGGAATCCCTGTGCCTCCTTGGGATGCTGAGCTGGGGAAAATAAGCCACAGTGAAGCAAGATCTTGTCACTCATAAAACCAGTTAATGAACAGAGGCCCTGGATGAGGGTGAAAGGGGTGAGGAATTCCCAACTATGATGGGTAGGGATTGGGAGAGCCCTTGCAAGTCATCAAATCTCCTTCACCGACCCCACAGATTGGCACTATAAGACCCTCCCTCTTCTTTGTTGCTGGCTCTGTGGTCCAGTTCCTGGAAATAAGATTCTTCAAGGGCAGAACACTCAGGATCCACTTAATGAAGACTGAGACACCTGTGTTCTTCATATTGTCAAGGACACTGAGCATCGAGAAGCCAGGGTTCTGAGCAAGTTTCACTTGTTCACTGTGACATTGTGGACAAGCTGATTCATTCTCCTGGACCTCTGGTTCCTGATCCATGTACAGGCAAGTGGCATGGCCAACTACCAGCTTAAACAGCTTTGAGGAGTGGAGATGTGACATGCCCTAGCATCCCAGTATCACCACTTGCTACCCGATGACCATGAGCTAGTCACCGAAGAGCTCTGCATCTCAGTTTCTCCATCTCGAGCTTAGGGGCAATCATCACCTATTCCCAAGAGTCATTGTATGCATTCACATTAGATCAAATTGCTCTAAATTGCATTCACATTATGGATGATTTATAAAGTATTATGAGTAAGTTGTATTAATCTAAAGTAACATTAGCTGATATTAATCTAAATACCTAAAATGTAGTAGGGCTCAATAAAGAGGATTTTATGCCTCCACCTCATCCACAAATACGAGGTTTGCTGTTGCTCACTGTGGTGAGCAAAAACAAAATGTGCATTTCTTTAGGAATGGTAAAATAGTAATAAAATAGAAATAAATACTTGTGTAGCCCTACTACATAGTCAGGCATTGTTTTCAGCTGTTACTATGCATTAACCTATGTATTCCTCACAACCAGCCTGACATATAAGTATTATCATCACCCCCACTTACAGATGAGGAAACTGAGGCAAAGAAGGTTAAATATCTTGCATAAGACCACTCAGTTAGTAACTGGATTTGATGAGAATGTGGCTCTAACACTCATGTTGTTGACCACTGGCCTGCACTGCCTATGGGAAAGGAAGAAAACAGATGTGTGTTGAACAATACGGTGGGTCAGGCATTGAAATGCCACGTATTTATCTCTCTTAATCCTACACACAAGTCCATGGAGCTGTACTCATTTTTATTTGAGGAATCTCAGGCTCTGAAAGGTCACGTCACCACAGCTCTGAGAGGCTCTGTGATTTTTGGACCAGTTGCAAAATCTCCATCCTGAGCCGGGCTTTCATCACTGTCAACAGCCCCAGATGCACCCAACATTCTGGACCCTCTGGCTTTATGTTGTCAATCTTCAGGATGCACCTCTGCCTGGGCTACCTCCTCGTGACAGCATGCTTCCTTAACCTTCCAATCACCACTTCCAAGTGGCTTTTCTGAGTTATCCTGTTTGGTACCAAACGCCGGTGCTGTCCTGACCCAGCTTTAAGGCAACTCAGAAGGTCAACAACTGACAAGCTTTTATTAATTGAGTACCTTTTCTCAATTAAATTGCAAAGCCTTCTGGTCAGGGATTAAAGTTCTTTATTCTGTAGCCCAAACACAGAATACATATGTGTTTTCGCTAAGGCTTGAAGGAGACTTACTGAAGGTCTAAATTTATAAGGATGCAGTGATATTGTGAGAAATAGCCTGAGATCAAAAATCCTGAGCAGGAAGGCAGCTGTGCTTAGAAAACAAAAACAACCCCCCCCAAAGTAATACATCACATACTGCAAAATCTTCTTTTCAGCTGGCTTGCAAGATTGACTTGAGACTCAGATTTCATTTTTTGTTCTGTACCATTTAAACAAGACTAAGTTGTCTATTTAACTATCCAATTGACCGTCTACCAATCTATCTAGTACATAAAGCCATCTATCTGTCCGTCCATCTGTCCGTCCATTCACCCATCTGCCCATCTATCCCTCCCGCTCTCCCTCCTTCCATTTAAACATCTATTTATCTGCTCACCAAACAATCTACCCATCTGTTTGTCCATCTAGCTCATATACCCCCACACTCATCTACATGGAGATACTCATCCTGTGTGTCTCCATGTAGCCCCAATTCTGCATGGTCTCACTTGAAAAGAAGCCCAGTCTAAACAGCCAAAGGTACTACAAAAAGAATTCTAAACTTTAATGTGCGTCTTTTGTAAACTGTAAGGGAATCCTGTTTGATTCACCCACCATCTCATATTCCTTTCTGCAACCTTTCCTTTCTTCTCCACCCATTACAAAACAACCAACCAATAACTCTCCCTCTCCTCTCCTCTCTTTTTCCCCTTTTGTTTTGAAGGTAAATTGATTTAGCTTCTTTCGTGAAGTCCTTCCTTTGGTCTTCTGTACTTCTACCCCATCCTCTGACTGTTTTCTAGTTCAGTATCACAAAACAAAACACCAACAGCAAAAGGAAAACTCTCTTTGGAGAGTGATGAAGAAACCCTAAGGCCAATGGGAATGAATACTTCATGGGAAAAAGCTGGAGGCATCTTATGTGTCCTGGAGACATGTGGACACAGCTGTAGTGAAGACTTAGAACCAGTTGGATCCACTAGGAGCAGGGAAAACCGGCAGCGCCACACCCGGGTCTGCGGAGGTTAGGGAGAAGCCCCAAATCAGGCAGGTGCAGGAGGTGCGGTAGGTGTTCTACTTCTGAGAGCTCCTAGACCCAGAATTAACTGTGGATCATGATGGTACTGAAGAGATGCTAATATAAAATCCCAAGTTGTGATACTTTGCCCATTATCACAAGGGGGTTTCTTTTCCTTTCATAACACTTCCTTTAGGTATCTGTGGACAGTGCTCTGGCCAGCAGTAAGTTGGTGATGGACTTAGTCAACCAATGACGTTTTCCTCATAAGAGGTAAAGGAGGCCACTGCTGAGCCCTTCACCTGCCTTTGGGCATCTCTAGACATGAGAAGACATTGTGGTCAGCAGAGAGAGTGCTGGCCTGGGCTTAATTTCTCTGTTTTCCCCCTTTAGCTTTCTCTTCTCCTCTCCTCTCTTCCCATTTCCTTGGCCTATACCCATCTGTACATTATTATCGACTAGTGCAGCAAAATGTTGTATTTTCTCCAAAAGATACTGTTTATATAAACACTGATTAGCAAACTCCTGACCTCTCTGCCCACTGTGCAGCCCCTGGGACCCCACTGCCTCTTGGGGAGACATGGTGATCATGTGACACCAGTTGGTTGGGTCTGATGGATGATTCTGATAGAGGTGAGAGGTGAAGATATGCAGAAGAGGTTAAAACCGCACAAAGGACTCCCTCTATACTTGCTTCCATCCTTGAGACAGAAAGCTCTTTCTTCCCTCCTGACAAGTCACACATTTCAGAAATAGCTGTTGAGAAGGAAGTGAAATTTCTCTGCAAGCTTACAAACGATGGTGACATGGGTTAAGCCAGGTTTTAGAAAGAGCAAAATTGGAAGAGCATATCTGACTTACAAATCAGTGGCAATGAATGAGAACATTGCAGGTCTATCAAATAGGAATGCAATTCTATCAGACTGATTTCTCTTTCCAGGTAGACAATCCCAGACTCGCCTCTGCCTCCAAGTGCCTGTGATTCTAAGACACATGACAATGATCTCATACGTGCAAAGTGCTTACTGCCCCTAGAGAAATCAAAACCTCTGGTTCGACTTCATCTAAGAGCAGCTGACTTGTCACTGAGACATTCTATAAGGCCACAGTTTATGAGTGATGGTGAGAATATGACAAGGCAGCGCTGTTCTTAACCCATTGGGGGCTCTTGCTCCCCAATAGTAACACAGTGCCTTCCCTTCCCCGAAACCTCTCCAACCACAAAATCAGAAGCTAGAGGAGAACTTGAACTCTTTAGTCATTCTTTTTGGGAGCCTGAGGAAAACAGTGGCCCTGTTAGACCGAAGGTTTCAAGAAAGGACAAGGTTCTGTCAATAAGATGTCCTAGCCATAGAGGGCACTAGTTGACTCAGAACAGACCATCAGAGGCACAGGGACATTCTGGAGCCAAAATGGCTAAGAGAAGGCTGCCTGTGTGTGTAGTGGGACCACAGTATATTTCTGACTCACTGATGGCTGAAAAGGGGACATTATTATTCTTTTTGTTTAACTTTCTGCATTTATATATTCACATGACCCCTTAAGTAGAAGCTGGGCATTGTCTTTGGGGCATTCTGTCCCTTTGTTTTGGTGGGGAGCACTTTTTAATTCTATAAATGGAAGCAAGTCCCTGGTCCTTGTTGCTGGGCTTGCCCTGGACTCTGAGTAACCAAACCCAGAGCTTCAGATGGAGGAGTGAGCAGTTTGTTTAATAACACAAAAGTCTCTGTAAGTGGGGAGCGGGGCACATTGTGGCACATATTATTGAAATGTAGATCAATGTTTTTGCTCTGGCAGACTTGGGGAGTGGGAAGGTGGAGGCCAAGGTTGGAACCATGGTGTTGAAACTGAGAAGACGTGGAGGTGAGCAGTAGGCATGGAAACCTGGTGCCAAGCCGGGGGCTAAGCAGAGGTGGGTAGGGGGACCCTCTGTTTAGGGGAGAAAGCAGTGCACAGGAGGGACAGGGATGGCTGACGTTCATCAGCTTTTCCTCCCTGTAACTCCTCTATGCCATCCTCAAGCCTTCTGAGTGTCTGATGAAGACAGCAGTGCAGTGAATCTCAGGGTTGAGGGAGGAATCTGTACCCTGGTTTCATGACCACATGGTTTGGAGAAAATACGCCACATGAGAAAACTGGGTTAGGTGACCAGAACTGCCCAGGGAGACGTGCTGTTGAGAGGTGACCGGCAGCACCAATCCGGCTGGGAAGGTGTCATGGGACACAGAGTGGGGAAGCTCTTCCCCTGGAGACCATGGCACCAGGGGGCAGTTCTCCCTGCCCCAGGGGAAAGTCTGGACTGCCACTACTAGACCAAAGGGAAGTCAGGGCCAAGAGGAGACGAGAAGGCTGAGGCATTACCTTCCCGCATCTATATTTCTGGGCTCATCTCTGTCCCTGGGGCTCCCGGGTTATCTTGATGACATGACCCATCACAACAGAGCAGTTAAATCAGAGAAGGCTCACTCATGACACAAAGCACCCCAGGGCACAGCCAGGCGGCCGAAGCAGAGGGGTCACTAGCGCATAAGAAACTGACCATCTCAGGGCCACCCACCAAGCAGGTGGCACGTGCCCTGCGGTCACCAACACAATGAACCACATCTGGCCCAAGTATTCCAGGACCCCAACAATCATAGCAGTAGGTCCTTGCCCAAAAGCAAACAACACAGCAAAGACCTGGCCACGCAGCAGTGCAGGGGCCCTTGGAGTCAGGGCCCTGTACCGGCAGGGCAGCAACCCGGACTCACCTCCTTTTGATGGTGAGCATCACACCCAAAAGGATGATGATGAACATGAGGAGGCCAGCGATCACTCCAGCCATCTTCACAGTGTTGTCCACCTGCTTCTCTGGCTCCACAGTATTAGAATTCTGGGTGGAGGCACCTTGGAGAAGAAAGGAGGCAGAGGAAGATGTTGAAAAGGCTCCTACACATGGCTAGACAATAATAATGGTAATGACAACAGCTTATATTCATTGACGGCTAACTATGTGCCAGGCACTGTGCAAAGGGTATCACACACATTGTCCCATTTTTTTTATCCTTTGGAGGATGATTAATCCTTCACGAGGTTGGGATTATTCTCATGTCCTTTGTTTGTTTGTTTGAGAATGTGTAAAGGGAAATTCGGGGCAATTGCGTCCCCCAAGGTTGCACAGCCGCTGTGCTGGGGCATCCTGATCGACTGCCCTTTCCCTCAGTTGGAGGATTTTATCCCTCACTCTGCTTTATCTGCAGGATCAAAGCATGGAGTTACAGTTCGCTTCTTCGGTTCATGAAATTATTCCCAACCCTACTTCATCCTTTCAGGTAAATGGTGAAAACAGCAGCTTTATGTTAAGGTAACACAATTAAAATCACTGGATTTAGAAAGATAAAAAGAAAGGTTTTGTTTTGTGCCTTATATGAAAAAATTGGTGGCATAGAAATTCAGTGTTATAAAGGGAACTGCCTTACATGAAAATAAAACCCCACTTATAGCTGACTGACTCCACCAGTTTTTGGATTTAACGCTGATGCTACACACACACTCTGCCAGATGCTCACTCACTGACTTAATTCCAGGGAGCTGAGCAGCGGCTCTGTCCTCTGCCCTGGGCTGGGGCATTTCACGGACCCACTGTGGTCGGTCCTCACGCACACTCTAAAAAGTAGAGACGAGTTTCCCATTCTGTAGGTGAGAAAGCCAAGGGAACTTGCTGAAGGTCACAAGGCCATGAAAAGTCAGAGTCAGGATTCCACAGGTTTTCTGGCCCTCAGTCTAGGCATCAAGGGTCAGACACCTTGAGTTCAACTTTCAGACCCCTTGGTCCCTCAATCGCCCGTCCCAAAGTGAAGATTTGCTAATGCCATATCAACAGTAAGCAGATGAAGAAGGCCTGACCTCCACCTGTTTGTGTGATGGACTCCCTGTACCAGGGGGCAGAGGCAGCTGCTCACTCCAGACACCTGTGCGAGTCCTGCTGCGGAGCATCAGCTCCCCGAGTCGGTTCCTCCTGCTGCTCTTCCTATTCCCAATGGTGCTGCGGCTGTGGGAGAATGCTTAAATCCACAGAACCTCCTTCCTCACCTGTCCCTACATTCCTGCTACATCAGCACCAGCTCATCCTTCATCAGTGACAACAGCTTCTCTGGTTGCCTGTGCTCCTGGGGGAGTCCCTCTCCTTTTTCCCAATCCCACAACTCTCTTTCACTATGCACATACCTTAATGAACCAATATTATTAGTTATTTGTTTCCTTATCTGTCACCAGAGTTGATCTGCAAACTCTTCCGGGGTGAGGTTATACCTCCTTTATCCTCACTTCCTCACGTTAGCCCAGAGCCTGGCTCATAACATGTGTTCCCTTAACGTTTGCTTTATTCAATGTTTCGCTGAAGGGATGGCATCACTGCCCATACACATTTGTTCTCATGGGACCAAATTGAGTTTCCCCTTTTCCAGCCATGTGTTCACAGAACTCAGCTGAATTGAAGGGACTTTAATGCCCATAAGCTACGACTCTGATTCCCCCAAACTCACTGACGTCTCAGAACAGCCCTCAGGCACAATGATGTATCCCCTCTCCTTCCTTAAGAGCGTTGGTGTTTATTTTATCAGGGCACCTGCCCCCAACTCTCTTGTAACTTAGACAAGCCAGGATTACTCAGTCAAGTCTCCCTGGGGAGAACGGCAAGTCTTCGGAACAGAGAGTGAGTCCTAGTTATTCCTCTAATGCCAGTGTCTAGCCCAGGCCTCCGTCCTCCTAATTGTTGGTTAACAGATGATTAATGATGGCATAAAGGCAAGAGAACCACAGTTATTTGCTTCATTCACTAATTTGCTCCTTAGCACCCAGGGGCTGAGTGCCAAACTAGGCTGTCAGTGGGGTCACAGAGCCTTCTTTTGGAAGGACTTATGGATGGGGGATTTTATTCAGTCCCCCTCACCCACTAAAGGCAAAACCAGCGCATCAAAACCCAAGACTATCTGCACAGGCTCTACTTATCTAGAGCCCAGAGGATTCCTGAGGGAATTAGCCAACCACTTCAGCTGGGCTGGGCTCATGTTCCAGAGTTGGGGCTGGTTCCCAGTAGCCCCCCTGCAGCTCCCCTTTTCCAGTTTGGACACGAGATTTCCGAGATATGTCTAGTCCCTGAGACATATGACATGACCAAACATAAAGGAGGCTGATTGCCTCAGACCACAGTTTCCTTAATATAATCAGAGTCTTTGTATTTAGATTTGAAGGAAGGGTTGGCTCTGCAACATTCACTCATTGGCATAGTGGAACTTAGTACCTGCTGAGATTCTCGCCTAGAGACTAGGGGTGCAAAGGCAAAAGAGCCCTGGAGAGGATCTGAATTCCCCCGGAACAGTTATTGGCTTGGTCTAATGCAATTCATTCCTTCAATGAATAATCACCAGCACCAGGCATTTGGTGATGGAGTGGGGAGCAAAACAGACAGAGTCCCTGCCCTCAAAGAGCCTACAGTGAGTGTTGGATGGGACTCAGAAGGTAGGATTCATGAAGCAAGAATCAATAATAATAAGCTTTCAATTCTATGAAGCAGCAGAATGAAGAGGCACACGCCACTTGGGAAGTTATAGTGGGGAAATGAATAACTTCTGGGAGGAAGTGGCCAGTGCGGTGAGCTCTGAGGGAGGACAGGCTGTAACTGAAGGAAGAGAGAGTGAGAGGGTCACACGGGAGCAGCAGAAGCAGCAGCACCGGCCAAAGCTGTGTGATGGGGCAAGGGGCCCAGTGCATTCGGGAAATGAAAGAAACGTAATGGAATGAGGGTGAGACAGAAGATGGAGGAGGCAGTGCGGGCCAGTCCACACAGAGCAGTATAGGCTGCAATGAGTGTTTTTACTCTTTATCCCAAGAAACACAGAAACCACTGAGTGTTATCCATGGGGCAATGTTGTGGTGTGATCAGTATTTCCAACACATCATTCCAGCTTCACTGTGAAGCCGAAGTGGACTGCAGAGATGAATTTTGCAGGCATGTGGGTGGGAGATGATAGCTGCTGGGCTCAGGTAATGGCAGTGGGGATAGAAAGATGCAATGAGAGAAATAAATGACCTGAACTAGATATAAATGAAACCTGTTGATGGACTGTATACAGGCATAAGGGAGAGAGAACTGTCAAAGAGGATCACAGCTGTTTGGTTTTCCTAACAAAGTGGATGATGGTGCTGTTTATGGGTTCAAGAAACAATTGGAAAAGAATAGCTTTAGAGGAAAAATGTGCATGTTTGGGGCAATTTGAGCTTGAAAGGTACTCTAGAAAAGTATGAGCTCTAAAAAGAGGTTCGAGCTGGAGGCAAAAATGTGTGAATCAGATGTATGAAGATGGTACTTGAAGCTGAGGGTTGATGAAGGCACCCGGGAGCATAAAGAATGAAAGGAGATCAGGCTTACCCAGAGACTTGAGGGTCTGTGGCAGAGGAGACATCGGAGAAATGGCCAGACAGGTAAGCAAAACAGCTGGGCGAGTATTGTGTCCCAGAGCCAGTAGAAAAGTGTTCGAAGAAGGAAGGAGAAACCAACTATGTCAAAACAAATACTACTTCTAGGATAGGATACCCAGAGGAAAGCAGAGATCTTGGATGAGTATTTGAAAACCTTTCCCAAATAAATCCTAAGATGTTCCTAAACAGAAGCACCTTCAGTGGTAATCGTGAACCAGCAATGGGACATACCTGAGGGTCACAGAGGAGCATCTAAGACATTTACAGAGGCCATCTCAAAGTCGACAGCCCAGTGGTTTAGACAAGTTCAATGAGTTCAGCCAACAGGCATCAGAGCTGATGTCACAGACTCTATACAGCAAAGTTATATATGAGAAGCCAAGCTTGGCTGGTCCACTAGGCCAGGTACAGGGTCATGAGCATTTCCTGGAATGTGGCACATCCAACTTCTGCTTCAGCATCTTCTTAAGGGCATTTGCTCCAGCTGCTGGGGGTCTGTGCCTTGGTTCTAAAGGAAGTGTGCCAACAGTGTTCAAAGGCGATACAGGTATGGAGGAAATGGCTCTGGGGTCAAAGGCCAGGCAGGGTTCCCATGTGGCTCCCATATCAGAGAGGAAATAAGAGGGACAGGAACAGAGGATAAGCCAGTCCTGGTCTTGCTGCAGTCAGGAATGTGTCCACGGGACTCACATCATAAATACCGCAGGGGCAGATGAGCACCTGCGCTAAGACTGAGGGAAGCACATGAGGTCGGCTAACGACAAGGACTCCTGGTGATGTGATCAGCTGTCTCAGGTAGGCACAGAGCTCCTCATCAAACAGACGCTCAACCACTAATTTCTAAAAATCTATCTTAAGAGTACTGATCCATTACTGGGGGCTGAGCAATGTGCTAAGCACTTGTATATAGTAAGTCATTTAATCTTTATAAAACTTGACTCAGAAGGAGCTAGCGTTACTTTCCCTTTTACATCAAAAGTATGCACAAAACAGTGAAGTAACTTGTCTGAGGCCTCTAATTAGTGAGTTTCAGAGCTGGGATTCCATGTGCAGGACTTATCCTCTTAGCACTACGATGGAGATGTAGTTCAGGAAATGCCAGCCCTGAGCTCATTTAGAAGGTCAGCCATCTGACTCACTGGCCTGAAATCCGAGGGAACTCTCCAGAGAGGCAGAATCAGAAACTGTTCAGTAATATTGAAGCTGCATTACTTTTGCCCTAAGCCCATCCTTTTCATGACAGTCAAACGTAGCACCAGTTCTCAGTCTCTACAAAGCTCAGTCCCCAGCCCTGGGTGACTTCTGTCTATCAAGCAGGAACTGGGAGTCTGAGATGTGAGAGAAAGCAGGGCATCTCTGCCCTCCACTGGGAGCCAACCTGAGAAGAGTCCGAGTAAATCAGAGCTGGCAACAAGGCACCAGGTGGT